TATTATTAGTAGTAGTAGTAGTAGTAGTAGTAGTAGTAGTAGTAGTATTAGTATTAGTAGTATTAGTATTAGTATTAGTATTAGTATTAGTATTAGTATTATTAGTATTATTGCACAAGAAAAATAAACACTTAAGGGGGAAAAACAGAAACAGGAAACACTGACAATGTCTACTATTGAGAATTTCTATTTCTCATAAAACAGAGATGTAGCGTTAATGAAGCTCCAGCCTTATTTATACCAACAAATGTAAAGATGTCCTAACTGTGACATGATCATTTATTATGGGATAAAACAAATCTATTTCAGTTTCAGAATGATTTCTGTAATAAATGATTCATTCAGATAGTGAGCCATACTGAAATGAAATGATATTGTTTATTAGGAGCTACAAGAGCAAAGCTTTCAGCAATCCAAACACCCTGGAAATGTGAAGAAATATATTCTATTTTATAGGACACTGTCCACATTCAGATGACCATATATTGGTTTAATAAGATAAAAACAAGTTTTCAGCAGTGCATATACGGCCTTTGTTCTCTCCTTTACATCAACCAGGAAACAAATCAGGATATCTGTGTTGTCAGATTTTGGCTTGTTCCATAACAGTTAACCATTATTTCCCACCTTGGCGGCATAAGGAAACTATATTTAACTGAAGCTTTTCTGGTTTGTTTGTTGATGCCTGTGGCGATCTCCTCTGAAGCCCCTATTTCCCCAGGCCTTCATCAGGTTCTCGCTCTTCTTCTTTCTTCGCTGCCACCAGGTATTGCTGTCTCAATACCATTCATTAAAGAGACGTGTGCTTTTAAAACTTAAATGATTTATTATATCAGGGAAGTTGACATATGATTAATAATTAATAAGCAAATCACAGGTTGCTAATCACTTGTACTTGCATCAGTTCTACTTTAACTTTAAACTACTACTAACACTCTGTTCCATTCAGAGTTCTTACAGATCTCTAACTCACTCTAAGTTCACTTCTAAGTTTCACACTGTCTCTCACACACAGAATCTCTCCTCATACTCCATACACCAGCCTTTATATCCAGCCTCCTCCCCACTTGGCTCCACCTTCCGTCCTCTCATTGGCTCCTACTCCACTGTTCAGCTGTGACAGACAGGTGAGGGCTGTTCGCTATAATGCCCATGTGCAGGCAAGAGGTCTTTCTTATCTCACCTTATTAAGTTGAGAAAAATTCTCAATTTTTAATAATCATGCTCAGATAAGGTTTTCTTTTTAATTCAGAAATCTGTAATCAGCACAAGTGATAGTAGTTCCTACAGACTCCTGACTGTTGTAAATTTCCACTGCTATACATTAGCCTTCTTTAAAAATACAGTGGTGCCTGGCAAGATGATTTTAATTCGGTCCGTGAAAATCGTTGCCTTGTGAAAAAATAGTCATTTATTCGTCTTGTGAAGCATCGGTCTCGGGGGGGGGGGAAGTCTTGCGAAGCATGGTCATAGAAAAAATTGTCTTGCGAAGCACCATAGGGATCGCGAAAACCAATCGTCTTGCGGGTTTTTCACCCTGCGAGGCTATCATCTTGCGAGGCACCACTGTAGATTAAAATGTTAACTACAAACCCACTTGACTGCCTCCCTGATACACTCTCTTTCTCCATCTCAAAGTGCAACCTGAGCATAGTCTCAAGCATAGTCTCAGGGATGTTTACTTGGAAGGAAGCCCATGGTGTCCAATGAGGAGTCCTGCCTAGTGCTTAAGACTGCAGCCCCAGTTGCAGTACTTCGCTTTTTCACTGACTATTATTTAAAGTGTGAGACATTTAGGTGGGTCAACCGATAAAAATGCTTAAGATCACAATAGAAACATCAACTTGTTCTGTCTGTGATTCTTTTATCTAAACCCAATTTAAAATGGATAAATAATCCCACTGTGGTGTCCGCCCAGATCATTAATATCCATATGCTATCTGCATAGACCAATTGGAGTGCTGGGGGGGTAGAGTCATGAGATACATGAGATATATTCTTAGCAGGAGAAGGGGGAGTTAGAGTTAGGAGATAGAGAGTTTTGAGAGTTTAGAGAAGGTTTTGGAGTTTGGGCAGGAAAGTGGTGGTTGAGAGTGGATGCAGTAGGATGTTTGTTAAGAGTTAACACTGCTTGAAGTATCTACATCTGTAACAATAAACAATTTCTACAGTGGTGCCTTGCAAGACGAGTGCCCCGTTTAACGACGAAATCGCATTACGACGAACTTTTTGCAATCGCAAAAGCTATCGCTTTACAATGGTTTCAATGGGGGAATTTCGCTTTGTGATGATGGGTTCCCTGCTTCGGGAACCAATTCTCGCAAAACGGCGATTTTCGGCCAGCTGATCAGCGGTTTCAAAATGGCCGCTGGGTAAAAAAAATGGCTCCCCGCTCTTTTCTGGGACGGATTCCTCGCTGCACGGGCAGCGAAAATGGCTGCGCTATGGAGGATCTTCGCTGGACAGTGAGTTTCAAGCCCATAGGAATGCATTAATTGGGTTTTAATGCATTTCTATGGGCTTTTTATTTCGCATAACGACGTTTTCGTTCTACAGCGATTTTGCTGGAACAAATTAATGTCATAATGCGAGGCACCACTGTATTTGGTTCTTTTAAAATTGCCTGGACCTCACTTATTAATAATAGGTAATGCTGATGTAATCAACTGGTGGCAGCTGAGGGGCACGTAGCATGAGCTCCTAGTCTGGTGAAACAAGCAGGGGCCACATGGGAGCGACACCCACTTAGTCAGGTTCCAAGCACTGAGTGTGGTTATTTATTTAGAGCGACACCCACTTAGTCAGATTCCAAGCACTGAGTGTGGTTATTTATTTATTTAACTTATGCCGCCCACTCTACCCAAAGGTCTCTGGGCAGCTTACAACAATTAAAATACAATAAAAAAAACAATAAAAACATAAAAAATACAATGAAAATAGATACTCTAAAAATTGCCATCGGGACCCATCAGTTATAATACTAAAAAACCCCAACAACAGTGATATTTAAATTGGGTTGACTTGTTTTAATTGATGTAAAAAGAGTGAATACATGACACATGTGGAAGTGCAGATTAATTTAGCAGCAGCGATTTTTTACTCTTCCACCAAAAGGCCATTTATTTTAATTTGGATGTGGAATTGATTCTTTTGCTGCAATTTGTTATATGTGAACACCTCTGTTGGTGTTAATTTTGAAGAAGCGCCCCCACTGGCTGACTCTCACAGCTATTTGCCCCTGCTATTGTGTGGTTTTTTAAAATCTATAACAGATAGAATTTTTAAAAATAAAAAAATTAAAACAGAGTTCTCAGCTCTCTGTAGTGCTTGCATGTAAGCTATTTAGTGGCACTGCAACAGTTCTCTTCCTCTTTTTCAGAACTGTGCATGAGACAATAGTTTTTTTTTAATTGCTGCCAAGGCCATGGAATATGGAGGGCACTCAGCCCGCTCTGGGAGGCTTTGCTGAGGCGGAGCAGCCTTGCTTTCCAGAGGTAAGCTTTGGCAGTCTATCTGCATTCAAGATGCAGTACATACTGCTCCAGCCTCCAAGTGGGAGAGGCTACAGAAGGACCTGCTTGGTCCAACCTTCAACAGAGACTCTGAGTTCTGTCCCTAAAGAAGAGAATGGAGGGGCAGCGCCATTTTATCCTCCTGATGCTGCAGTTGCTACTAGCTAAGCACTTACTGGCTAGCAAGCTAGTCAGAGCAAGCAAGTGCTAGCTCCTTTTGATATGAATGAAAAGAATGCACATAGCTATTCAAATATCCTGTGACTGCCACGCTACCTTAAATCGATTTAAACAACACTGTTACATATTCCAAAGTATATCACTAATGTAACCACACTCACTGATAGCTAAATTCAATTGTTAGACCCAATTAGAGTAGACCCACAAAGACATGTATTAAGAGGCAACAGTGCCACCTCTGCGCACAACTTATCTCCTCAGATGGTTATAAGGATAAAATTGGGGAAGGGGGACAAAGCACACCTAAGTTCTCTGGAGGAAGAGCAGGATTTAAAATGCAGTAAATAAATGAGAACTTTCTCTTTTACTCCTTGATCCACCCCATTTCTCATTTGTCCACGTCAGCTTTTTTAGAATACTGACTTTCCCCCTAAACTACCTCTCTCCAATTCACTCACAACTATCACACCATTTTATATGAGATACATTCACTGTGGTGTTACAATACTCCTCCATTTCCCCTCAATCTTGATTTCATTAATACACAGATCTCTATTTTCTACATCTGTGCACACATAACCTCAGAATTTCATTTACCGGTTGAGGTAATACTTTAACATTAGTCTACCATAATTGAGAAGAGTACTAAAAATTGCAATATTACATTTTAACCAACTGACCTTTACCTATATCCCCACATTACCTACCGATACAAATTTCAATTTCTATATACCTCTCATTCTTGGACTTAAAAAAAACACCCGCTATTCAATCATGCAACAGAGCCAAGAACTTCAATATAGTATGTCTGATTAACTGTAGCATGGCATATGTACACTGAAGAGACTGATTTCCCTAAGGAGGTGGCTCGTCTATTGCCATACCACGTTCCTTGAAAGAACATGCAGATGGGTATTTGGACAATAATTTCTGGATACAGAAAATTGATTGCTCTTTCTGAGGTGCAATTTTAAAAGATCATTCTTGAGAGCTACCCACTATGGAGCAGATGGGACCTAGTCCTTTTGTATCCAA